TATTTTGGGAAAGATCTCTGTCTATTCCCAGCCCAACTCTGCAGTTTATGGACAATAAAAGTTTCATTCTGTTTGCTTTGTACCTTCAACGAGCAGCTTGTGATCCAACATTAAGTTGCCTGACCCCATAAAACCATGGAAGCAGAAAATGAGCTCTTGTTCAGTCTCACAGGCTCCTCCCTCCCTTTCCATTTTATTCCCCAAATCCTTGCTGCTTACACAGCAACCCTGGGTGACACACAGTGACCACACTTGCAGATAGGATAGACGGTTTCTCCAGGATTTTTGGGCCTGTCAAGCTGTTCTCCAGCAGCCCCAGTGAAGCTGTGCTTTTTTTTGGAGCTTTCTCTCTCACCTGTTTGTTCATGAAGACGTAGATGATGGGGTTGTAAACCGTGGCCGTCTTGGAGAAGTAGGAGGGCAGGGATGCCAGGGCTGGCTGGATGACAATGTCCTTGTTGGTGGCCACCACCAGTGCAAAGGTGGTGTAGGGCAGCCAGCAGGTGAGGAAGGCCACCACCATGGCCACCACCATGCGCGTCACCTCCCTCTCCGCCTGCTGCGTTGTGTCCGACTCCTGCTGCTGCGCCGCGGCCTGCGGGGAGTTGGGGAGAGAGGGAGGTGCCTGTCAGCAGCTTGGAACAGCACTTCCATCCCTTGGGAGCCCTGATGGCAGCGCCAGGAGGTGCCAGCTGCTTCGGCTGTCCCCAGATCCTGCCCTGAGGCTCTTCATCCCGATGGAGACGCTTTGGGAACAGCGCGGACTCACCCGAGCCGGGCGCACTTACCGCCCGCAGGGTCAGCAGCAGGTTGGTGTAGGAGAAGAGGATCAGGCTGAGGGGCATCACAAAGCAGGTGACAAACAAGGCCAGGATGTAGCTGCTGTTGTTGCTGCCACCCGTGTACCAGTTGGGCCCGCAGGAGGTTCTCAGGCCTGGAATAAAGGTTGGGGATGAGCCTAAACCAGTTAGGGCCTGGATCAGGGCTCAAGGATGGGCTCCAAAACAGCCATGCCACCCAAGCACCGCTCACTTTTCCATCCCCAAGGGCCTGGAGATCAGCCACCAGGGTTTTTGGCCGGCCAGATGCCCTCTGTGGTTTGTTGTGGAGTTGTGCCAGGCCCTGACAAGGGCAGCTTTGGGCTGGGTGTGCACTGGGTGCTGCTCCAGCAGCCAGAGCAGTTCCTGCCTCCAGTGAGAACGCCTGCAGAGTGTCCTGTGCTGGGGAACTTCCAAAGAACAGCCTCAAGGAGAGGAGTGTTGGCTGAGCAAGCAGGAGACATTAACAGGAGCTATTAACCCCTTAAACTCCAGCACAGACACTCTCCAGCTACCCCGGGCTTGAAACCAAGACGCAAGAAGACAACAGAGCGGAGTCTGATGCACATCTCCCCTACCTTCAGGCACGTAGCTGCTCCAGCCCAGGAGCGGTGGGGTTGTCCAGAGCAGGGACCAGCCCCAGGTGAAGGCACAGCCGCTGGCAGCGTGCCGGTGCTGGAACCGAAAGTCTCTCAGGGGTCTGCAGACCACCAGGTACCTCTCCAAGGCCAGGATGGCCAGGGACCACAGCCCCACGATGCCTGGGGGGACAGCGAAGGGTTGTGTCTCAGGGACAGGTTCTGCTGCCTGTGCTGGCACCTGGTTGATGATGGTTTAGTTCAAGTAAATATTGTTTGAACAAGAAGTGGGATGTTTTTTCCTTGCAGCAGGGAGAGGTGTGATATTTGGCCGTTAAAAGCTGTGATTTTGGCACTGCTTCTCTCACAGCAGGGACAACTGTGATTTTGGCCCTTAGAAATGAGGTTGGCAATGGGTGGCTGTGACGCCTCATGGTTACAACAACTGAGTGTCCTCAAGCAGAGTTTTTGCTCAATTTCCTGTCCCTGGTGCACAGCCAGCCCCAGGTGTGTGGGTACAGCAGCCAGCACCCATGAAATGCAGCCCAAACAAGCCCCATGTTCCCAAGTGACATTTCCCACTCTGTCCAGACCAGGACTGACCTGGTGCAGCCAACCTTCTCCCCAGCCCTTCCCAGTGCTAACCAAGGGCTGAAGGACACGAGTTTCACGTCAGAGTGTTGACTGTAGGTGGTGCAACATCTCCAAAGCCCCTCTGCCAAACCCAAAAGCATCAGCCAGAGCCCAAGGCAGGTCTGGAATTCATCTCCTTACCTGTCAGGGACACCATGAAGCCCTCCAGCTCGCAGAGCCGTTTCCCAAACACGAAGAAGCCGCTGATGTTGTTGGAGAGGCTGACGGAGCTGCCGCAGAGCGTCACCAGCAGGTTGGCCACGGCCAGGTTCACCAGGATGTAGTTCAGGGGCGAGCGGAGCTTCTTGTGCCTGATGGACACCACGATGACCAGGCCGTTGAGCACCGAGGCCGAGGCCACCACGAGCCCCATGAGCACGGCCACCGCCAGGTACATGGCCCGGGGGCCCTGGTGGGGCCACTGGGGGCCGTCAAAAGGCCCCGGGGTGCCGTTGTTTGGGGGCTCCTGGGTGCTGTCCATGGAGCAGCAGCACCTGGGGCAGGTGAGCTTCCCCAAAAGCAGAGCCTCTTTATAGAGCAGGAGGGGCTGACGTGCCCCAGAGCAGCTTGGCATCCAAATACCTTAAGCTTTATTTTAATCTGAAGGGTTTGTCCTCCCGCTTTTTATAATCAGCTCTTTATTCCCAAGGGGATAAAGAGTGACTTAAACAAAAATCTGATGACTGAACAGAGCATCATTTAATTGAGTAAATATTTTTTTTTTAACTCATGCTTTCCAGTTGGATTTTCCTGTAAGCCCAGCCTTGGCACCTGAGATAATTCCCTGTGCCCTGGATTTGCTGGGCTTCACAGCTACTAAATATATATTAAACATAAATACACATGTAGTATATATACTTAATTGGGCCATATGAATGTATTTTCTCTCTTCATATATATATATATATATCCCCATATATATACTTAGAAATACTTGTAAGTACATATATAGTATTTATGCTATACTGGGCCAAGAAGCCCCTAATGCTCTGGTTTAAAATAATTTCTTCCCAAATCCTTGCCATCCCCCAATTTCAAAAGCTGTACCACCAGCATCAACCTTTTTTTTTTTTAATTTTTATTTTTTTTTAACTTTTTTCTTTTCAGTTCTCATTATAAATATTAACAAATCTGACCAAAAGTACACAGATAGGTAATATTGAAATACAAAATTCTCTCAGGATGCAGGTAAGGATGGTTTCTGCAGCCTTCACATGGTAGCAAAACATTGGTACCAAACATTTCACGAGGCCTGGCATGACAACCACCAACTCTGCATGCAGCTGGGACGAGGGACAGAGTGTCCACTTAGAAAAGACTGGGGCACAAAGTGAAGGAACCCACACACACACACGTCCTACTCCACCTCAGGCATAAAACCAGTTTCATAGGCTGGAAAAAAGGATGGATTGAAGGGAACTTTGCCAGAAAAGGGAGGCACAGCCAACCTGGTGCTCCTGGAGCTTCCCTGGAAGCTCAGACCCCAACCAGGTTTTAAGGTGCTGGACCAGGAAGGATTTTTGGGAACATGTGACTCGACAGGCTGCCAGCATTCAAATAAAATCCATGCATATCTGCAGGATGCATTACAAATATTAAGTTATTTAAAAAACCCCTATGAATGTTGTTTTTTTATTCTTTTATCTCCCCCCAATATCAAACAAGGTGTAACAAGGTGTAACACGATCGTCACTTGGAAAAGTAAACGTAGGTTTCCAGAGATTCCACTGCTTCCAAGAGACAAAAATGAAGTTGGCAATACGTGCACAGGGGCTTGGAAGCTGAGGGTAACTGAGACTCGTGGGGAAAGAGCAGCTCTTCCTAAGAAATCATTCTTTAAAGGCTTCAAGAAATTTTGGGAATGGTGCAGCATTTCCTAGAAAGTTTTAGCTCATCCCACTGGGTGCCTGGTGGGATGAGGATGAGCCAAGACAGATCACAGAGAATGATATCTGAGATTATGGTAATATTCATATATTATTACTGTGCCATATTAATATTACTGTGCCATAAACAGAAATTTATTTGGTTTGGATGCTGTTTGAGGCAGAAAATGAATCAACCTCATGGCCATGCTGAACTACAAACACAATTCCAGCTCAGCTCCGAGGCTCAGCATCTTCATTAATTAATTGATTGAATTGGAAAGGGATGAAAAAGGGAAAAATGATAGAAAAATTCAGCCTGGAAGCTGGCTTTGCTGGAAAAACAGCCGTGCTGCTGCATGGCATGGTTTCATTAGGAGAGAGGCTGCTGCCAGTCCTGGGAAGCAAGAACAGCCAGGCTGTTCCAGGGAGCTTTTTATTTTGCCTCCCAAATGTGAAGCTGCCCGATCCCAGGAGGAAAAGTGTGGTCTGCACAGCTCTGCTGCCTTCACGTGAGTTACAGGAGAGGACGAGCACAACATTCCTGGAAGGAAAGCGAACACTCTTTCCAGGTTTACACAATCATTCCAACAGAGGAGCTTTAAATGCATAAAAGACTGTTTAGGCCCAAACCACAGAGACTGACAAACCACCAGAGATATGGCACAAGCTGCCCCGAGGAGACAGTTCTGTGTTTTGTGTGTTTTTAGGGACGCCTTTTGCCGATGCCGGACACACGGACGCGGACGGACGCATTCATTTTTGCCACTGACTTGCAAGGCAGCGAGAAGGTAAGTGAGTAGAGGCAGGATCTGGGAGAGGAGGCAGACTGCAGTGCATGCAGGGGTGCACACCTGCGTGTGTGTGAGCGTGAGGGTGCCCGTGCCCGCTCCAGAGCGGGGCTGGGCGCAAAGAGGCGTTCTGGAAAAGCCTTGGCAGCCTTGGGAGCGGCCGCCAGAGCAAACCACCTGTGCCTTCTTCCCTGGGAAGGGCTTCCCTGCAGCCAGGCCCTGCTGTGGGGTGTCCTGCTGTCCTGGCTGTCCCGGGATCCCCCGGATCCAAAGCTGGGAGGAGCCCAAAGGCTGTGGAGCTGTGGCCCCCAGGGCTCAGTCGCTGAGGACGGCGCCCGGCAGCTCGTTGGTCAGCGTGTGCCAGCGCTCGATTTTCTTGTCCTTGTTTTTCAGGCAGTCGAACCAGTGCTTCAGCCGCTCCCCTTTGGCATTAATTCCTAACACGACTCCGCCTTGGGAGGGAGACAGAGAGAGGGAGAGCTGTGGGGGGAGCATCGGCTCTGCGAGGGATGCTGAGAGATGCCGAGGGACACCGGGGGATGCTGCAGGGAGCCGGGTGATTCAGCATCCTCGCAGCATCCAAGCTGATGTGAAATGCGGCCCAAATTCCCCACCCCCTGATGGCTGGGATGTGGGACCTGTCCCAGGCAGTGTCCCTGTCCCTGGCAATGCCCCTGTCCCTGGCAATGCCCCTGTCCCTGGTGCCAAGGGCTCACTGCAATCACAGCGGCTGCCGGAGGTACCGGGCTCTTGGTAGTGATAAATCACAGCAACAAAATCACAACAAGCCCAGACGTCCAACAGAGATAAATGAAACCTCCCTGTTAAACCTGTTTTTCACTCAGAGGAAAACATCTGAAAACAGAAAGGGAGAGGCAGGTGTGTTTTCTCCCTGCTTGGATGCTCCTTGAGAGGCTCAGGGGCAGGAGAGGGATAAAAGCAGAACTGAAACCCAGCGAGAATGAATGTGGGCATGGAGAACAAACCGGGAGGCTGGAGGAGTGCAGGAGAAGGAAGAGGCACAGAAAATGAAGATAAATAAAAAAGAGGCCAAGGAGACCTTCTGGAGTGTGCTACTCACCTATGAAATCGTTGGATTTCCCAATATCATAGTCCCACACAGTGACTTCTAAGGTTTTCTTTGCCAGGTCACCGTGCTTTATCTCATAGAAAAACTCCTGTGGAGGAGCAGAGGTAGAATCAGGATGAAACAGGGGCTGGGGCAGCTCATCCTCCTCCTCAGACTTTGCTGCCCACGGGGAACCCAACCCCAATCCCTCACACAGTGACTGAGGTGGGGGGAGTTTCATCTTTTAAGTCTGAGGTTGAGAAAAGCCCCTCGGTGAGAACCACACCCACCCCAAACCCACCTCATTGAACTCGGGGTTCAGCGTTTTCTTCTTCACTGCTGTCTTGTGCTTGGATTTCTTGTCCTCATCTGGTTTCAAGTAACTGCAAGGAGACCAAAGCATCCCCATGGGTCCCAGTGAGGGGGGCAGTGTCTGTGGCTGCAGGACCAGCTCCTGAGCAGAGCCAGCGTGAGGTGGGTGGCTGAGCCCCCTGAACCTCCAAATCCTCCTTCCCTGCTCTCCCCTGCCAAAACTCTGGGGATGGCTGGGAGGAGGCAGCATTTCCCCACCTTAGAACCAAGCCCAGCTGCTGGCTGCAATCAGAGAGCACCGATTATCCCATCTCCAGACCCTAGGGGACACTGGCACCGCACACACGCTCCCCAAAGCCATCACTGCCAGCCCAGACCAGTGCAGACTCAGGTGTGTGAGTGGTCTGCTCATGCAGAGCCTCTCCAGGGCACAGGAACCACATTCAGGGTGGAAAAGGAGCAGCTTCGGGCTGTTCCCCACAGATATTCTGCAGCGCAGCACCAGAGCTGGACATCAAACGAGACTAAAGTGTCATCAGGCAGAGAGGGGACCAGAAACAAAGGGTCAGGACAAAGTCAATCCATCGTGGTTTTGTGCTGCTGCTGCGCCTTTAAACATCAGTTCTGCTTCCTTGCTGCACGTTCCAGATCTTGCTCATAATTAAAAATTAGGGCTTGTACCGAGAAGCATCACTTTTCTATCTGCTCTGATCCCAGCCCTGCAGATGCAATCTCCTGTGGATAGCACAGGGGACACCCAAAACTGGCTGGGTGCGATGGGAATTGTGTTGCTCGGGGACTGAGCCTCCTATGGGCATCTAAAAAAGCAAGAGGGGATTTTTTTTCTTTTTTACAAACACCTCCACCCCTAAAAACCACTTAAATAAGAAGGTGAAAATGTGCTGCTGATACACTCCATTACTGGGTCTCCCAGCTGCGGTTTCTCCCAGCAGTTCTGCCTTAGCAAATACCATCCCTAAAAGTGCCCGAGTTTGAGTCAGCACGGTGGGGACAAGGAGGTGGGACAGGCACAGGGTCCCTCCTCGCCATGGTCACCCCCTTTCTGCAGAGAATTTGAAAAATGCCACCCCCCAAAAACCCAGGAGCTGCGGTGGGACAGGAGGGACAACCCCACACCACCCAGTCCTGCCCCAGCTCACCTGGAAGCTCTGCCAAACAATGGCCAGGGAATAACGCTCCAGGCACAGGCAAGCTGCTGCCTGACGGCCTCATTTGCATCTCCTAATGAGAGCAATTAATGCCCGCTGCGGGGAGAGGCGGGAGGGGACAGCAGGGCTGCGGGTGACCCTCACATTTTACCGGGTGACACTCACGTTTTATCGGGTGACACATTTTGATGGGTGACACTCACATTTTGATGGGTGACACTCACGTTTTGACAGGTGACACTCACATTTTTGCAGGTGACACATTTTGGCAGGTGACACTCACATTTTGTCAGGTGACACTCAACATTTTGACGGGTGACACTCACATTTTGACAGGTGACACTCACATTTTGACAGGTGACACTCACACTTTGATGGGTGACACTCACATTTTGACAGGTGACACATTTTGACAGGTGACACATTTTGGCAGGTGACACTCACATTTTGACAGGTGACACATTTTGGCAGGTGACACTCACATTTTGGCAGGTGACACTCACATTTTGACGGGTGACACATTTTGATGGGTGACACTCACACTTTGATGGGTGACACATTTTGAAGGGTGACACTCACATTTTGACGGGTGACACTCACATTTTGGCAGGTGACACATTTTGACGGGTGACACTCACATTTTGACGGGTGACACTCACATTTTGACGGGTGACACTCACATTTTGGCAGGTGACACTCACATTTTGACGTAGGGGTCAGAGTAGCCGTTGGCGTCCATGGCAGCCAGGTGTGCGCAGCGCATGATGCCCACCTGCAGCCCCTGCTTCTGCGAGCTGTACTTGAGGGAGATGAGGATCCTGCCACGCTCCTCCAGCGACTTGTCCTCTGTTTTATCTATCTGGGGAGGGAATGCACCCACGTCTGGGGGCTGCACCGCGATACAGCCGCAGCCAGACACCTCCTCAGCCCAGGGATGCTGTTCCCCACATCCCTGACGATGTTTGAGGGGCCACACAGCTCCGTGCTCCCAAATGCCACAGGGAGAAGCTGCTGTGTCTGTGATTCCAAGGTGGGATGAGGCTCTGAACCCCCCTCACTCACCGGCAGCTGCTTCTCCAGGCAGATGTTGAAGTTTTTGGTCTGGTTGGGCTTCAGTTTCTTCAGCGGGATGCGCGTCTCCCCGATGAACTCGTTGTGGCGGAACTTGTCCTCGTCACACACCGAGATCCTGCAAGGGGCACGGGCTGAGCGGGGACGCTGCAGAGAGGGGAGGGGCTGCCCCCCCTGCACTGCAGATCCCCCTTCCCCAGGCCATGGACAGGGCACCTCCTCTGCAGACAGCTGGAACACAGCTGGAACGCACAGGGCAGCTCACGTTGTGAGTCTCTGTGTCCAAACGCACATCCCAGCCCAGGCACTGCTGGAAAAGCAAGCTGGAGCCTCAACCATCCCAAACCCTTCCACTGAAACATCAGAGTCATCAGGGACTAAGGCAAAATTACTCAGAGTTGCTGGGGGTGCGTTTTGCCCAGCCATGGAGGCTCTTCCTCATGGCTCCCTTGGACTGTGTGGCTGGGAGAAGCCTGCTTCCCACACAGCTCCTTCCCTCGGAGCTCGGGCACGGCTGGAGGTGGCAGCTCCCAGGGTGACCTTGGCTGGGACACAGAGAGGTTCTGCCACCCCCATTCCCACCAAGCACACAAGGCCATGAGTGATTTCCACACCCAGACCATGGAAAACATCACACCTTGGGCAGGTGGAGCTCCCACAGCCCCGCTGGGATCCCGGGATGCGTCCCAGTGGCGGAGCTGTGTCTGAGGGCAGGGATGTGGTGCTGAGCCCAGGCTGTTTTCCATGAAAACAGCTATAAATGCTTTTCCCTGAGCTGGCAGCTAATGAGTCATTCCTCTGCTGCTTCCCAGCCTGCTCTGGGCGTCAGGAGGGACGGCAGAGGAGCAAAGTTAGCGCTTGCAGAGAGCCTCTGCTCACAGCTCCCAAAATCCCAGAGGGCCAGAGGGGTGCCTTGAGGGACCAGCTGTTCCCAGCTGTGCTGGGAATGGGGAAAGCCAAAGGGAGCATCCTGTATCCCTGCTGGAGCCACACAGGGACTGGCTGGGCTCCCTCCCCGTGAAGGAAAGGCATTTCTTTTCCCTTCCCTTACATCCTTTCTCCTTTTTTTAAAAGAAGTGTTCTTACAGTGTCTTCTCATCTTTGGGTACCTGATTGTTTTTCACCCAGTCCCTTTGGTGTCCATCTTCCCACTTCTGCTCCAGGGGAAGGGGGAATGTAATTAAAGATTAATAATTAGTAATTAAAGATAAATAATGCCCTGTGATCCCACCTGAGAGTAGCTAATTGCACACCCATAATATCATGGATGTGTTATCCATGGATGATTTATCTACAGATTGTTTATCTGTGGATGCTTCGGTGCCTTGTCCAAGGATGCTTTGACCACCCTCATGCTCACAAATGAGTAACAAAGAAGCCATGGGGATTCATCAGAGCTTGGGAGCAGCAGAGGAAATGGGTTTGGGAAAAAAAAAATAAGGCACAAGCAGGAAAACGGGGAATGCTGCACTCCAGAAAACTGTGGCTGGATGCAGCGTTACTATAGATACCCACGGAAAAAAACACCCCACCAGAACAGTAAAATCCTCAAAGAGAATCTCAGATGCAGGCACGATATTCCCCATTTCCTCTCCTCTTTCTTGTGAAGAGCAGAAGCAGCAAAGGAGCAGCAGCAGCTCCAGAGCCAGCGCTGCACTTGCCAGGAGTGTGGAGCCCCTGCCCCATGGGGCAGAGCTGGGGGGACAGGAGGGGACAGGAGGGGACAGGAGGGGATGTGGCCTCACAGAGAGCTGGCAGCCCAGGATCTGTGTGTGCACCCAGCAATTGTGGAGCGGTGCCAACTCCTGGGCACTCAGGGAGACAGGGTTTGGGATGGTTTACCTCTTAAAAATGTGAGTAACAATTCTGACAGTGTCCAGGTACCCCCCAGAAGCTCAGCAGGATCCCAAACACAGCATCCTGCTTGCTGTGAAGACTCAGGAGCCTCAGGATGAGGCATAAGCCCAGGAAGGAAACGTGGAAAACTCCAGTGGTGGCAGCAGGGAGAGCATCTCCAGTGTCCCACTGGGAGAGACCCCTCTGGGCACCGTGTCAGTGCCCTCAGGGACATGGGAAGGCCCTTGGGAAGTTTTGGCACAGTGCCCTGACAGCTCCAGGCCTCTCCCAGCCCCCTTCTCCCTTGGCACCTCTGGCCACTTCTCAGCTGCGTCCCCACATTTTGTGCCCGTCCCTGTGTGATGCCCAGTGGGGGTTTTGTGTCAGCTCTCCCCATGCCTCAGGCCCAGCCCCCGGTCCCAGTTCCTCTTCCCAGCTGCAGCTCATCCCCACTGGAATGGCATTTCCAGCCCTGCAGTGCCCTGGCCCATCAGTGAAGGCAGAGAGCTTTGAGTGAGATGAGCAGGAAGCTCCAGCCCCGGCCCTCCCGTTGGAAAAAGGCGTAATGCAATCACACCAGCTTGGATTTTATTAGGAGAAATCGATGTGGTGGAATTTTTATGCCTTGGGTTAGAAAATCAGCCCCGTGACAAACAGCACAAGATGCCTCTGGCAGCCTCATTCACCTTCCATCCCCAGCCTGTAACTGGAGCTTCACCCCTTTCTCATCTCTCCTTATCAATCCCAATCCCTCCAGCCCTGTGTTTCACTTGATATCCTCACTGTGGGGTCCTGATCTCCACGTTAAGGGCTGTGAAAACCACCTTGGAAGGAAACTGAGCAGCAAATGAACAATCACTGCTCATTAAACTTCTCCTCCCTCCTACTCAGCCCGGGCTCCTGGGTTAGTCCTGACTCACTGCACAGCTCCAGCAGCTGACTCACGGCTTCTGCTCCCTCACACGAGTTCCTCGGCCTCTTTCCCAGCATGGAAAGGGGGTCAGCAAGGATCCTTTTCCACAAAAACTCACAGAGCAGAGCCCCAGGTGCATCCCCTGTGTCTGGGATCCCTTATGGCAATGTGGGAGGCTCTCCATGAGGAGCAGACGATGCTGCCTTGGTTTAAGGACAGGCAAAACCAGGCAAGGAGACAAAATAGCACCCTGGGAAAGTCCAGTTCTCCAGAAAACAAAAGGAGGATTCCTTGATGGGCTCCATCACAAAATGCCTCCAAGTTTGAGCATAGAAACTACAGCAGAAGTGAGCTATAATTACAAATGCACCTGCAATTCCAAGCAAACCTCATTCATCCAGAGTAAAGCAATTTGGGACCCCAAACCTTGAAGTGGCTGCACTCTGCCTATTAGTCCTGATCAAATACTATTTTCTGAATAATATATTTAATGAGTCATGATGTTTGTCAAACACATGATTAAACAAAGAATTCCTGGCATTCGTGGGCTAGCTGAGTACCCCATGAATAATGCATCACCTCGCCAATATATCTGGATATGAATAATTGTATCCAGTATCTGGCCAGCTGAGATATTTATTATGAATGCAATTTATTTATTGTATATTACATGTATTATTGAAATGGAGGAGATTGTGTTCTGCCTGTTCCAGCTTCCCCTGCAGCATTTCTCTGCCTTCCCCTGACGTTGTTCCCTGTGGTCGCAGTCCAGGTGGGAATGGGGGCTCCAGGGTGGGATTTCCCCCTGGTGCTGGAATCTGTCCCCAATCCCATTCCTCTGTGCATTCCAGTGTGTTCTGCATGGCTCTGAACCTGCCTTTTCCCAGGCTGGTGGGTGGTTTCATCCCTGCTAAGCCTTGGGCTACACTCAGGGATATTGAATTCAATGAATGGATGAGACCTTTCGAGATCCTCCCACCTGCTGAGCTCCACGAAATCCCAAATATCTGCTGGCTTTTGAGGGGGCTGGTTCATTAACAAAATCCTGCTTGGCACTGCAATTAGCTGGGCTGCCTTCACCTCTCCTTCACCTCGGGGAGTGAACCCTGATGGCTCCTGGGGTCTGTGACAGCAGAGTCACTGCACCAGTTTGGACACGCAGGGATGAGGGAGAACCCGGACATGATTTGGGGGGCTTGGGCAGGAGGGGATCCCACTCCAGCTCCAGGGGTGTCCCTACTCCAGCTGCTGTGACAAATGCCACTTGTCCCCCCCTAAAAGGCTGCAGACACTGGCAGAGTGCCCCTCGCCAGCACCACCCCACCAATCCATGCTGGACACGTCCCACCAGGTGGGCAGGGAAGATTTCTGGGTGCTCTTCCAGCTTCCCTGACGCATCTCCAGGCTGCAGGGAGGCAAAGGCTGGCGGCAGCTTTGATCTCCGCCTTTATTTTCACATTAAAGAGACTCTGGAATTGCAGTCCCTGGCCAGCTCAGCACCGGGGAGGCTCCCAGGGAATGGTCACCGCCCAGACCGAGGGGAGCATCGCCGATGCTCTTTCAAGCAGCACCAAGCTGCCTGGCAGGAGCCTCTCCTGATTAGCACAGGGAAAACCAGCGTCCTCCTGGCTTTGAAGCTGGCTTTTCCTCGTGGGAAAGGAGATATTTTGAGGAGAAGACGGATGGGTGACCGTGCATGGAGACGTTTCCTGCAGGAGGAGAGTGAAGGGCCAGCTCATAGCAGAGAAACAGCTCCAGCCACAGCAAAACACTGACAGATGGCCAGTTTAGATGGGATATTGGGAAGAAATCCTTCCCTGGGAGGGTGGTGAGGCCCTGGCACAGGCTGCCCAGAGAAGCTGTGGCTGCCCCTGGATCCCTGGAAGTGTCCAAGGCCAGGCTGGAGCAGCCTGGGATAGTGGGAGGTGTCCCTGCCCAAGTGAGATGATCTTCAGAATCCATCCAGCCACATTCTCCTGCGGACTGAGGGCTCCCAGCTGGGGTACAGGGCTCCATGCACAGTTTTGAGCTTCGGGGAGGGCACAAGGAGCTCCACAGCACCCAGGCTGGCAGGCAGGGATGGGGCAGAATTTCTGTGGGGAGAAAGGCAAATCCAGCCCAGGACATATTTTGGTGCATTCCCCATCCCACAGCTCCCTGCTGCCTTTAGGATAAACAGCCCTTCCCAAGGGAAAAGCAGCTCCCAGAGCCCTGAAAGAGTGGGGCTCGAGCCCTCCTGCTCCCTGTTGACTTCCAGCAAACAACTCGGCCAACAGCTCCTTACAAACCAATTTCCACGCTCGAGGAAGCTGCAAACTTCAAAGCCTGCAGTGAAAAAAATACCCACCAATAATAACAACAAACTGGAGGCTTCCCAGCCCCACCAGCCTGCAGCACTTCCAGCATGACTAATGTTTCCCAAGTGAAAATAATAATAATCCACAGTGCTGAATTTCCCATCACCCTGCGCACCACAGGTGGGCTCTGCCCCGCTTCACCTCCAAGCAGGACCTTCCACAAGGCAGCTTTGTGCTCCTGGAGTGAGGAAAATCACAAACTCCCAGGGCACCTGCAAATGAGGAGGGTGGGATTCCAGCCACGGAGCTGGCAAAGCCCCCAGTCCTTGGAGAAGGATGCAAAATCCTTTCTTTGAGAGTGGATCTTACAGCAAATCCTGCAGCACGGCCCCAGATCAGTGTGGTGATGGAGGTTGCTCGCAATTCTGGCCCTCATCCAGGTGGGACAGAAGCCAAAACATGAAAAATCTTTGCATTCACAGGTGTCTGCTCCCTGCAGAGCATCGTTCCAAGCTCTGCCCCTGCCCACCTCCATCCTCACACAACCTCTCCCAGCCCCTGGGAGATGCTGCCAGGAGATGCTGAATGCACAGACTGAGCCAACAAAATAAAATGATAAAACAAAGACTTGCACTCTTTGTTTAGCTGGACAATAATTCACAGATTCCTCCAGATTTCTCACAAAAAGCTCAGCTCTGAAAGGGGCCCAGGACTTCCCTGAGGAGATTTTCTCAGCAAGACAGGAGGGCAAAGCCTCAACGTGTGTCCCTGCGAGCTGGGCAGGAAGAGGTTAAACCCAAAGCACAGCTCCTCAGCAGGCAGGAGCCAGCCAGAGAGTTCTGGGGTTAATGATGCAGCAGGAGCAGGCTCCTCACTGGGTACCCCACCGTAAATCAGGGCTCAGCGGCCCTGGAGGTGACAGATGGGTTCCCTGGGGACAGCTCTGCCCAGAGCCCTCCTGTGGGGCTGAGCACGGGGGTCCCTGGGTGAAATTGTCACCGGGGTGGGGAGGGACAGCTGGCACGGGGCTGAGGGAGGGGATGTGTCCCCCTGGGATGGGGCCCTACCGCAGCGTCTTGCGGATCATGTCCTCGTCGGTGATGCCGTAGTAGGTGAGGGTCTCGTTCCAGGTGGGGTTCAGGGTGTTGTGCAGGGTTTTGGTTCTCAGCTTGTTTGCCTGGAAAAGAAAAGGGGGTCAAGTGGGGTCAGTCCTCCCACAGAGGAGGCTGTTTGGACAGGAGTAGAAGCCCAGTTTGGAGAGGAAGGGGCAATTTGTGCTGTCACTCTTCTGCCCCAGTGCTGTAACCCTCGATGGGGTGGCCCAAATCCACCCCAAATCCAGCAAAAACCTGAGGGGCAGGGACACAGCAGCTCACTCATTTCCAAACCAACCCAACCCCACATCCTGAGAACAGCCAGCAAAACGGGAACCTTGGCAGAGCACGGACTGGGATTTCATTTCAGCGCCAGGAGAGAGCAAGGGGGAGGGGAAAAAAATCCATTTTGGGATAATAAAAAGCACCAATTTGCTGTTCTGGCTGTTTGTTTGTACTCCTGCTCCCAAGCACAGCTCTTGATCCTGCCTGACTCCAAACAGCTTCCTTGACAGGCGTTTTGTCAGCAACTCTGCTGAAGGGGAGGACGGGGACAGCAGGGCTTGTGTCCCCTGCATGGGTGGGACACCCTGGCACACAGCCACTCCCCAGCTCGGGGGACATGGAGCTCCCTGAGCCCCCCTCACTTCTGGGGAGAGCAGAAAAGAGAGGCTGAGGCTGCAGACTGGGCTTCTCCACCAGGCTCCCAGCCTGGCACAGCCTGGCAGAGCAGCAATTTTCCCTCTAATTAGGTGTCAGACAACTCAATCCCTGCCTCAGCTGCTGCTGGGCATAAGAAACTCTCAGCACATCCAAACCTCCAAGTTGTTTTGTGGATCTTTATGGGAAGCTGCTGCATTCCCCACCTGGCATTCAGGAGCCCTGAGTGACAAGGACAGCAGGGAAAGTGCCCCAATGGCACCCACAGCCTGCTCAGATCTGCGGGTACCAGATCCAAGTCCTGGGGCTTCAGGCATTGGGGAGGAAAACGGGTTTAGCCAGGGGGGTGACATGATGAACATCACCCCACTGCTAAAGCTGCCCTGGGAAGGGACACGAGTGAGACCAGAGGAGCTGAGCTCCGGGAGTGCCTTTTTCTCCCATCTGGAATGACTCAGGAGTCAGCAACCAGCTCTGCATGGGGAATGAATCCAGCTCTGCTTCCCACACCCACAGGGTGCTGAGAACCCAAATTTGAGACAGAAACACCCAAGGGACTCGGGGACTGTCCTGCTGCTGGAACAACTGTGCAGGAACACCCAGGCCAGGACAAATCCACAATCCCCCAGAGCTGCTCCCCTCTCCCGGGGGGATCTGGGCAGTGCTGCTTGGAGCAAAGCACAGAGCTGGAGCAGAGATGCTCCCCCCACAGCTCCTGTGTCCCCTCCCCTCCTGCCTCTCCAGTCTCCACCAGCTCCAGCAGAAATGCTAATCAATGGATTTGCAAAACATGGAAATGACTGATAATATTGCTGATGAAAGCGCTCCCGGCTCTGTTTGCAGCGGAAACTCAAAATGTGGTTAAAAACTCCCTCTGCTGCCCTGAACATTAGGAATTAATCCAGCTGAACTGTAACAAGTAAATACACCTCCTCCCAAAAAAAGGCCTTTCCTTTCCTGTGGAATAAGAGTGCAATTAATATTCCTAACACACACATGGAGCATTTAAATTCCACATTCCCGTCTCTTACGCCGAGCTCTCACCACACATCAATATCTTTAATTACTCTTCTCTCCAGCAAGCGCTGAACCTAAGGAGATGGAAATATTTCCCTTATGATTTATACTCTGTTTTATTATGATCTGAGGGGTTTTAAATGCAAAAGAATAAGGGTGAAAAAAGGAAATTAAAAGGGTCCGATTTGTTTATAGCTGAGATTGTTTCACTCGGTGCTTCCCGGGGGCTCCTGGAATGCAGCATTCCCATCCTGGGCTCCCAAGGTAAGGAATCAGGGCTGGCACCTGGCTGCCAGCCAGTGGTTTCCCAGAAAGGCATTTTCCAACCTTGTAAGGATGGATTCAACCCAAATTCTTCTGTCCTGCTCTCTCTGAGCAGCTTCTACTCAAGAGATTCAAGGTTGGGGTGCAGCAGCCCACAGCCCCTGGGTGAGGAGCTTCTCCCAGGCCTGGTTTCCAATGAGAAGCTGCAGCCCCAGGAAAGGAAGGAGAAATGAAAAGGTCTCTCACCTTGCTGGCTCCGGGGAGCAAGTGCAACTTGACGTAAGGATCAGCCAAACCATTGTGGTCCATTGGCTTCAGGCCCTGGAGAGGGAACAGCAAAAGCAGGAGTCAGGACAGCAGCGGGATGCTGGCCAGGCAGGGTGGCCTCACTGACCCCTCTTTCCCTGGGATATCGCTGGCCCATGGAGCAGCTGAGGCTTCCCCAGGACTGGGGAAGGAAGGGAGTGTGGATTCTGCAGGATCCAGGCTCGGCATTCCAGCCTGAGGATTCCAGGAGGGGCTGTGGGAAGCTCCTCACCTGCACCATCCACTCCTCCCTCCCGGCAGCCGACTCTGCCACCCTCATCACAATTAATTTGGGGGTGAAGCAAATCAGTGCAGTGATTTGCCAGGTTTGAAATTACAGGGTTCTGTCATTTAATAATTGCTTCTGAGCAAACACACACCTCTGCTGTTGTGGTGCCACTTCCAAGCGCTCCCAGGGGGTGTGATAGCACCTACCTACTCCCAGTTATTAAGGAAGAACAGCTCCAGGCCAGTGGGAGGCTGGTGCCAGCCAAATGCTGTGGTGCTCACAGAGAAATCTGGGGTTGCAGGAGCAGCAGCCCAAGCAAACACTCGCTGTGGCCATTCCTGATGGGTTTTCTGCAAGACCCTCGTAGCTCTTAGAGGATGAAGTGGATCAGGTTTGTTGTAGCGATGCCCTGCAGCTGGTCCTGCTTTGGGCAGAGGGAGGGCACGAGCTGTGCCTCTATTCCTCTTCTAAACCACCTGAAAATTATCCAGGGGTGATGCAGAAGCCCAGCTCAAAGCCACACCTGCACAGATTGCATGGAAAAAAACTCCACAGGGCAGGGAAGCGAGTCAGGAGCGTGAAAAATGGAGCCTAATTTTCACCAGTCCTAAGCAGAAATGAGAATGGCTCTGTGGTGGAAGTCCTTGGATTATTTCCAGCCTGGCTGTGGGATCCCTGCAGGAATTACTGCTGGGCTGGCTGAAGGCAATCCTGTGTCTGGATCAGAGCAGGGCTTCTCTGCAGAGGTACCCATCCAATCCTGGCTCCAGCCCGGGCATGGAGACAAGGCTGGGGGATGCTGAAGAGTCCTCACAGCCTTTTTGTGATGAGCAGAGTGCCTGGGTAATGAGTGTGTGCAGCTGCCAGGGATCCAGCGGCAGGGAAGCATTTGTATGGACTGCTGTGTGCAGAAGGAATGCAATCATCCAGGGTCTGGGCAAATCCAGGAGGGAAATGCTGGGGAAATCACTTCCATGCTTTACAGGTAGGGAATAACTCACCCAGCCTCAGCCACAACACCACAGGACCCTCTCTGAGCTGCACAATTTTATCCAGGATGCTCCTGACCTTGGGAATGTCTCTGATTTGGAGCAAGAGACAAACGTGCTGCCCTGGGGCAAGGGAGGCCAAATGGTGCCCAGCAAAGAGGATTTTGCTTCTACAGCAAAGGCAAAAGGATAAAAATATCAGCAGTGAATGGAGGTGAAATGACTCAGTCTCTGGTCCAGGAGATGATGAGGATGGGACAGACAGGGCAGGAAGGGGCTGTCCCCAGACTCTGCAGGGAATTGCCTGCACAATCCACTTGTGCTGTCCCCAGCCTCCCTGCTCAGAGGTGCCCAACCTGCCCGGGCTGCACAGCGAGTGAAATCAGAACCAAGCAGGCAGATTCCCAGGAAAATGGATGGAGAATGACAGGCAGCTCTGTAATTCACCCATCAATTCAGCTCAATTAAATTACCTTCTGAGGAGGCTATTAAAGGCTTTTTTAATAGATGTTCTATGGAAGATGGAGTGACAGGAGCCTGGAAAATGGCTCCTAATGTCACGTCTACCTCCCTCCCGTGTCACTTGATACGTGTTTGGCACAAAGAGCTGAATTTAACAGGGCTCTGCTTTGCAAGGCTGCTCCTGTGGGAGATGATCCCTCCCACAGGGAGGACCCACATTGCTTCCCCTGAGTGGAGAGACCACCAGCCTGGAGCTTCTCCAAGAGGGATGAGAGGCAGAGAGGGACAAGGCATGGAGTGTCCCCTCAGATCCAGCTCAGGCACCTCCCTGGCTCCAACTATTCCTGCTGCTGCACTGATTAATGGAGCTGAGATTAAGTTTCATCTTTTCCTCTACCCAACCCCAAAATCTCTGCTGCAATCCTTTGGAGACCTCCAGCTCCCTGCATCCCAGGCTCTGCCAGCTGCTCCTCGTGCCAGTGACATTTAGCTAATCAATAGGATTTAATTACAACTTGGGCTAATCGGGCTGCCGATTAATGCCACGCTAGAGGCGTCCAGAAATCACAGGAGATGGATTCATTCCATCCTTCAGCCCACAACGAGCTGCCTGCCCAAAAACCAACCTGGGTAATTCCCAGGCCGAGGCATCCCGTTCTGAAAGGGGGCAAACTGTGTTTCCAACCTGACAGCCCAGAGGAGCCAGACAGCTGGAGGAATTTCCCTGCAGTGATAAATATTTATGAGTCAATACATAAGTAATACTCAGTGCAGACCTCCAGCACTCGCCTCGGTGGGAAGGGAGGGAATGGCCAAATGCTCAGTGGAGTGGAAACTCCTGGGTGTTTTCTGGCCAGAGGTGCAGGGAGAGCATCCCAAGGATGCTCCAAAAGGCAGCAGCTGCCTGGCATGGCCTGCCTGGGGCCAGGAGCTCCTTCACCATTGCCCTGCAGACCCCTGAGGATTGTCCCAGGCACCTTCTCCCTAAAGCAGGAGACCACTGGAGCTATAGGATAGCACAGCCTGCTGTGTCTGTGCTGCTGCATGTCCCTATAAACCCCCTATAGCAGGTTAGGCTCTGTAGGACTGAGCACAAAGTGAGACCCTCAGTGAAGCCATGGCATGGCAGGGCACGAAACCTGGTACCTGCACATTCATCAAATCCTTTCTCATCCTATTTTCTAGGAGAGGGGGATGCCCAGCCCATCCCAGCTGCATCCCACACAGCTCAGTAGAGATCCACACAATCCCAGGGCTTGTGCAGGGCAGCAGGGGAGAGGGAGAGCCCTTCTGCCAGCCTGGCTGCTCCTGCAGTCCAGGAATGAACTTCCACAGTGGCCTGATTTATTCTCCTATTGATCCGAGCTGAGCTACAACGAGTCTGAGCTCAGCCGTGCCTGAAGTGTGACAGGGCTGGGAGCCATCAGTGTGAGGTGGCTGCCTTTTCCTGGCTGCTCCTGCCTTTTCCTGGCTGCTCCTGCCTTTTCCTGGCTGCTCCTGCCTTTTCCTGGCTGCTCCTGCCTTTTCCTGGCTGCTCCTGCCTTTTCCTCCTTGTTCCTGTCTGCTTTTGCAGTTCCTGCCTCCTCCTGCCTGCTGACACCCGGAATCTCGCAAATCCTGCTGTGAACTTCCACCCCGCAGAAACACCTCAGGAACACCTCAGGAACACCTCAGATATTCCCAGGCACAGCACCAGGGTGAATTCCCAAGTGGAGTGAGTGTCCCAGCCTCCAGGATCTGCTGGCTGCAGAGCAGGGAGCTGTTGGTGGAGCACAACAGGTTGTGTTGAGCCTGCTGCTGGTGCCTGCTCCCCAGGAGCTGATAACGGGACTCGGGAGGAACATCAGCAGATAGAAAAGTGCTGGAGATTAAAAAATAATAGAAGTAAAATAAAGGGAGAGAGGGAGGTTGCTTGGGGTTATCAGAGAGAAAGAAAAACGTGTCTCATGTGGCTGAAATAGCCCAGGTTTGAATGGCTGCTGGCAGCAACCCAGGCTCCAGGAGCTGCTGGAGCTGGGCACATCCCGAGGGAGTTTCCCTGGAGGGTGACACAGGTACCCAAGACCTGGTCCAAGGGTAAACGACATCCCAGCACTGCTGGGGCTTTTCCCCCATCTCCTCCTCTCCAGCTCTACTTGTAACACCCCCGGAGCCAGCAGGGTCCTGGCCCTTACCTTTCTGTAGTCAAGTTTTGGCAGCTTTCCCCAGGCGAGAGATGAAATGAGAGCGAGCAGATGGCAATGTAAATAAAAGAGAAAAATGGGAGAATGAGAGCAGAATGGAAATGAACAGGACTCCAGAGCTCGAATGTCAGGGTGGCCAGGGGGGCTCTGCCCTCCCCGCGGGCAGGGGCGATGCTGGGGTACCCCCACGGCCCTTGGTGGGCACAAGCAGGGACCAGGGCTCTTCCCTGTCAGCCCTGCCTGTGCTCTTGCTGATGTGAGATTTATCAGCTGCTGCCCAGAGCTCTCCTTCCTCCCTGTCTTCCACCCACTCCAAACCCAATTAGAAATCTCCTCCTTGGCACCACTCCCGTGTGCGCCGAGGGAAGCCTGACCCAGAGGCTGCCGGCGGATTCAGGGGAGACAGGGAGGGAAACAAAGCCCAGCGTGCCTCAGGCCTGCCCTGCTGTCCTGCCTGGGAGCTGGGGGTGCTGCCCTTGCCAGGAGCAGCTCCAGGAGTGCTGGGACAGATCCCTCCATGCACATTCCCAAAATCCAGCCTCGGTGCTTGTGTTGGAGAACGCTGGGGTGGGGGCTGCAGACAGGCCGTGGAGGGGAGAGGAGCATCCTTCGAAGGCAAACAGCGTGGTCTGACCCTCTGGGGCTCAGTTCACAGCCTCTTCTCCTGCCTTCTGTAAAAACCCCCCATCCCTTCCCAACATCTGCAGGGATTGAGGGTTTTTCCCCCCAAGCCACCTGGAGCCCTCGTCTCTCTGGTGGTCACTGGGTGATGCAGAGAGGAGCCCAGCATCCCTTTCCACACTCCCACAGCCCTTTCCACACTTCCCCAGGCCCCCAGTTCCCTGTTTCTGCTCCCAAATGTGCAAAGAGCCCCTAATTGCCTCAATCACGCCGACAGCAAAGGCGCTGAGGCGCAGCACTTCGGGGCCGTGATTAGCAGCATTTAAAAGAGCCATTTATAAACCGACAGCCGGTCACAGCAAATAACAACATCGGGACGGGCTGCTGGAAAAAGCATCAATCCCAGCTCGTCACGGGGGATGAGCAGCCGGCTCCCGATGCTGGGAACGCCCCGAGAGGCAGGGGTGGAGGGGAAGGAGAGGGCAGAAGTGATGGGATGAAAGTGCAGCTGGAAGCCGGTGGATCCCAGGGATGCTCGGCACAGCCGATCCTCGCTGTCCCCAGAGCCGTACCTTGGCTTTGTTGATGGTGCAGTGGAGAGCGTTGTTCTCCTGATCGTAGAGCAAACTGAAATCCAGCGTCCCCAGCGCGGCTGCAAGGGAGGAGAGATGTGATTAACCTGCAGCACCCGGCAAACGCGGGCTGCTCCCCCTCTGAGCACAAAAGGAGTGCACGGAGATGCTAAAGAACAGGCTGCAGACATTATAAAACGCATAGCATCCTGCTGGGAGCCCTGTTATGAAACGTGGCTTGGCGCTGGGAGGACTGGTGGCCGTTCCCAGCTTGGCTGGCGCATCCTTGGGAGCGGAGAGAGAGGGATGAGGCTCACCCAGCCCTGCAGCCACGGCTTTTGCTTCCTTGGGCTTTCACCTGGCTTATCCCCATCCTTCAGCAGCCTCACTGCAGCCAGCAGTGCCCCAGGAGGTGGAGGGTCTCCCCAGGGAAGGTTTGGGAATGGCTGGGACACAGCTGAGAGCTGCTGCTGGCACATCCTCCCCTCCAGCGCCGCTGGCGTTCCCAGTGTATTTGTATAGTGACACCTTCAAACAAATGAGCCACCAGTGGGATCCCTTCCCAGCTCCAATCTGGCTGCAAACTGTAAATTAAACCCAGTGAGGATGGAAATACTTTTCTGGTTAAAACGAAAAACACCAACAGCTTTTAATCCTCGCGGTGTTCCTTTATGGCATCCGCAGGATCCAGGAACGGCAGCGTCTCCTGGGATGGGACACGGATGGGGCAGGGCAGCAGAACAAAACCAGGAGAGCCTCAGCAGCAAAAGTCCTTTTGATTTGGGAAATTCTTTCCCTTTGGATGATCTGAGCACGTCTCACTAATCCAAAGCAGAGGAGAAGCTTTAAAAAGACAGGCTTCCCAAAACCACGGCTTAACCTTCTCCAAGGCTCCCAGGCCTGATTTGCACAGCAAAGCCTGGACATGGAGCAGCCTCTCTCCTGGCTCCCAGCCTGGAACTTCCAGGGTGGCTCTGGACCCAGCAAACCCAACTTTTCCATGCCTACCTTCCTGAAAGAGTTTTTCCTGAGTGCTGCCCTGCCACCGAGCAGCATCCCACCGCTGTTTCCGAGGTAACTGCACCTTCCTACCATGTTCAGAATGTGAAAAAAATCCAAAATAAAAACCAGAACAATTTTCCTTAATATCAAAGCAAGGTTTGCTGCCCGGGGGGGAGTTGGACAAACTTTATGAGAGGAAATAAGGTGCTTTTTCCCCCCACCCCCAGCATTGATAGCAACAAGGCACCCACGGAGTTTAAGGATATTCAGGGGACCGAAACCTTTCCTGCTGCAATTTCAGAGTGATCTCCCAGCCCAAAGGCAAGGGAGCTACAGGTTTGCCTGCTGGCAAAAGGGGAAAAAAAATAAAATCATTTCTCCCAAGCAAGTATCTTGAGTTCAAAGCTGAGTAAACACACAGGGAGAGTTCTGCCAGAATAAAGTACCCCCCTGGTTGTGCAGCAATTTCATGGCACATTAGCTCCTGGTCTGGGTAAGTCACGAATCAGTGGGGTTTTACCTGCCTGGGAAAGATGAGGGGTGAGGCCAAACCTGCTGTACCCTGTGCATCTTCTCTGGGTATGGCTCAAATGAGCATTTCCAGAGCAGCTCCCTGCAGCTGAACCCCTGCACATCCTGCAGGGAGGAAGGACCAGCAGCTCTCTGCTACCTCTGGGTGCTCCCAGCCACGGGCAGCTCAAGGATGGCAGCGTGAGAAGCTGGAGGCTCCACAAACCAAGTCAGCAAAACTTCCCAGATCTGCATTTTTCGCTCAAGAGCGGAAGACGAAACCTCCGGTTTTGGAGCCTCATCATTTCCACCTGCCCTTTAATCAGCGCTTCCTGCCAGCCCCACCGCTCGGCCCTCCGACTTCAAGCTGTTATTTTATTTTTATCACAGAAGGGGGCCTGCGGTTCAGCCTGCTGGATTTGGCAATTTATAAAACAAATTAAAAAGCTTGGCAGGAAAAAAAAAAAAAAAATTCGGTCAGGAAATACTGACAAAGGCCCAGCCAGCCCCAGGGGTGAGGGCAGCGGGGAGCCCCGCTCCAGCAAGACAGGTAAAACTCAAAATCACCTTCACACAGTGGCAGGAGCTTGTTCTGCAGCTGGGGACTCAGGTCTATGAGCAAACATCCAGCAGTTCCCATTCCTCCTGGAGCTGCCAGGGGTGGGAGGGCACCAGGGATCCAATCCTGGCTTTGCTCCAGTCCTGGAGGGGTTTTCCTCTAAGCAGAGAGGGTTTTTTTTTTTGTAGATGGGGAGTCTCAGTTTCCAAGGAAGGGTCTGCCCTTGGGCAGGGGGATGTGGAAACATCAGCACACTGTGTGCTAATTGCTTAAAAATGTGTCTGTTTGATAAATGGGATGGGGAGAAGTTGGGGTTTGGCAGCCAAGGGGCTGCTGTGGAGCTGGGAGTGAGCACTGGCACCAGAGGCAGGAGCCAGCAGGTGCCCAGGACTCATGGAACACGTTAAGGACATGGTCACAGTCCCACAGGCTCTGGTACATCCTGGGAATGCACAGCCAGGGGTGGATCCAGCACGGCAGGGAAGGCACAGACAAGGCTGGAGCTCCAGCTCAGGGCTGAGGAGGTGACAGGAGACCTCCAGCTACACACCAGGGGTGGGAGCCACCCCTGCACCCCACATCAGCACCCTGTGAACCCCCAGGAGCCCCCTGTGCTCCTGCAGTGGTCAGCACAGCGAGCCAGGGGCTGGGCAGAACACCAGCAGCACATCCAGGCCTGGCCGTGGCAATGCTGCATCCCCAGCTGGCAGGATTGGACCCCAGACCTCTGCAGAGAAACCTAATCCCCCTTTCTTTAATTGCTTTCCCCCTCCCACTCGAGATGCAGCTCGATTGTGATCTTAATTAGGGGAGCAAGTATCTAAAAAAGAAAAGGGCAGCAATTAGACTCAAAGCGCTGTTACCAGGATTATTTAACTCGACTGGGCTATTCTGAACACTGCCCTCTAATCACAGAGGCTGCAAATAAAAAATATAAATAAATGCCTTTGTCAGGCACTACAAAGGCAGCTTGGCGCTCTCCAGACAGCAGGCAGGATGTATCATTATTATTACAATTATTCTGCTCCAATGATAAAATAACCATTAGGAAAACTGAACTCATTAGCAGGTTCTGACCCTCTTTCCTCTCCGTGAGCTGGGAGAGATTGATGGGAAGGCACTGACCAGGGCCTGGCTTTTAACACAGGCTCTAAAAGGAAAAATAAATCCAACTTGCACGGGAAGGTGGCCTCTTCTCCCACTGACCTTTGGGCGTTTTGATTAATTCAGTGGGCCAGGAAATGATCAGAGGGCAGCAGAAGCAGCAGATGTGTCTGTGGGCCCGGCCGGGCCTGCGGGCAGCCCGGCACAGCCCGGCAGAGTCGGCAGGAATTTATTGTTTATTGCTGACATTTCCCGCCTGTGCCCAGGGTGAGGCGAGGCTGAAGGAGTTTCTATTTATACCTGTGGGATGAGAGGCAAAATGTGGTGATAAATCTGTGCTCTGCTCCCTTCCCCAGCCCCTGTCCTTGCAGGCGCCTGGGCTGTGCTGGCTGGCAGATCTGCTCTCTCTGTAGCCTGGGATGCTCCAAGGAAAAGAATTTCTCATCCCAAGACATGGAAGAGCCACTGACACTCACAGAAAAAGCTTCAGCAAAGCCTGGAAGTGATGATGAAGCACACTCCTTCCCTTCCCAAGGCAGGTGTGACTGCCATTAGACAGCCCAGCAAAGCTCTACAGCAGAAGTTGAGGTGCACACACAAAAACCCCACTATAGAACTAATTAAAAAGAAGTCCAAAAGCCTTAAGTCCCTCTGCTTATCAGCATTGCTGCTCCCAAGATAATCTGCTCACGGATTTTGTGCCAGGGAGATCAGAGTGGAGCAGTAAAAAGACTGCTGGGGATTGTCTGGATTAGCTCTCCCTTACAGAAAGCACAGGTTCAGTAACCTTCAGACTGGGTATTTTTTAATGCACTATAAAAGATAGGTCCCTATTCTTCCATTGCTTTAATTTTTCCTTGCAATGGAGATAATTTTAAAGGTCCTGAAAGGCAGCAAGTAATTCTGTGCACTTACAGCCCCATATAAAATGTTGGTAAATGACTCCTCAGGAGGAACAGAAATTATCTCCTGCCATTTCCAAGCCGGGCTGCTGAAGAACATTTTGATGGCTCTGCGTGTGCTCCTGCCTCACTGGACCATGGGGCAGAGCTTGAGGACTTGCTCCACGAGGTCTGGAAAAGCCTGGGGGTTATCCCTGGAAAACAGCACCAGCAATTCCTGCGGCTGGGGCTGAGCTCAGCCAGCACCTGCAGCATTCCCAGTCTGGGCACAGATCCACTCAGGATGCTGCTGTGCACTCAGGGATGGATCCCAAAGGTGCTGAGCCGAGGAGCTGCAGGCCCTGAGGGCTGGCAATGCCCCAGTGGCAGCACCCACCATGGAGCTCCAGCCACGGCATCGCCGCAGGATTCGACACCGGCCGGGAAAGGTGGGGGAGGCAGCTGGAAATGGGATATGTCTGAAAGTTGGCGTTCCCATCAGCCATTCCATGAGTGTAGATCCTCTGGGAGGTTTTGGGACGTGTCCCAGGGCCAGCACAGCATCCTGGGGCATGAACATTCCCATCAGCAGCACAGGACTCTGATCTGTTCCTGCTGGCAGGGCAGGACGTTCCCAGCCCTACAAAAAACCCCAGCAGGGACCAGATCCAGCACACAGAGGCAGGAAACCTTCCCTCCTCAGCAGATCCACGGATGTGGCTGCACTCAACAGGATCAGGAGCAAGGAACAAGCACAACTTTTCTGTCTTGCAACTGTTCCCTGCTTGGCAGTGGGTTTTTCACTTAAAATCTGCTGCAATTAATATTTCTTTGTTTTGGAGACACGGCACCAGCCCCTGGTAAGCTCTGGAGCAGGGAGCTGCTTCTTCATGAGGTTGGGTGATGGATGCTCATCAGCTCTTCTGTCTTCTCCAGGAGGAGTGTTCAGATGAACACTTATCTGCTCAGAACAGTTCAGAGATGCAATTATGTTTTACAGCACTAAATGGTCCCTGATGTCAGC